CGTCACTCCCCACATCGTTGGCTGAAACATCGACTCACCGTCGATGTTCCCACCCTCCCCCCTATAGTGAACGCCTACGCGTCCACATCCATCGAAAAGTCACCCCTTTCGATGGATGATACATCAAACACTACTTCCAAAGGTGCCTTCTTCTTTTTGGCCTTCAAGGCCGGTCCCTGCGGCTTCTTGAACACGGGTTCAGCCGTGTCCTTGACCTCGGGCGCAGGTTGAATATTGCGCCGTTTGCTCTCCTGCAGCGTGCGGCAATAAGGGCCGCCCATCCTGTGGTTGGATTCGTATTGCTTCCCTTTACATAGGAAGCAATTATATTCTTCTTCCGTGCAGTTGGAAATTATATGCCCCTCCCTGCCGCACCTAAAGCATTTAGGTGGCTTTTCCTCTTTTTGGGGACATCTCACCTGCACATGCCCGAACTCCAGGCATTTGTAGCACTGGAGCGGCCTGGCCTGCAGTGGCGTCACCACAGTGGCGGACCACCCGACCATGAGCCGGTCCAGTGCTACAATCTTCTTGGCGGAGGCGATGGGACATTTCGCCCACACCGCCCCCATTCCGTAAGGGGCAAATTTTATTTCGCCCACCCTTACATCAGCCACTTCGCACCCACCGCTGGCAGCGATGGCCGCGGCGATCTCTTGGGCCGTAACCGATTCATCGATTCGCGTTATTCGCACCTCCGCCATTTTCTGGGGCACTGTTATTTTTATGGCCTCCCGGTCTTGGAACACTTGCCTCATCGAGGCTGCCAATTCCGTCGCCTTCTTGGCATTTTCCTCCCCAATCACCTCTAATAACATCCCTCCTGTAATGGCCCTCTTGGGCCTCAATTGGCCAGGACCAATCCCTAATCCGGCCAGCTCGATCTTTTCTCTGGCCTCCTTAATGGTGTCAGCCATTGTCACACCTGACCCTGGAGTCAGAGTAACAGCCACTGCGGCGGTTTTAGGAACCCTTCCTACTTTAGGTTTCCCTTTCTTAGGGGCCTTCTTGTTACTTTTATTCCTGGAGCTCTCCGCTCCAGAGATCGTTCCATCCGCGTCCGTTGATTGGAGGGCGCTCTTGGACGGGCGGGGCCGTCTTTTCACCCTAATCCACTCCCCATCATCCTCGGTATCCGTACCACATGGGGTCGATGTCACCATGCTTCTACCTTTGTCGAGTCCCCTTCTAACACACTCGGAAAAAGTGAGCGACTTTGCCGAGGGTGCTTTCACGCCTGTCGTAGGCCTACTCCTGAGCGTCCGAGTGCTGGGCCCCCGCGAAGGGCTCCGAGCACTCGTCGCTGCTGTGCGGTCCTCCACTCTCGATTTACCCAGCAGATGCTCGATCGTGCCCGTCAATCGGCGCATGATCCGTTCCTCCATTGCCCGAAACTCACGCCGGAGGTCAAGCTCTTCTCTCTGGTGGTCCTCTCCTACTTTAATGCTTCCAGTCCCCACCGGGGCATTTCGAGGACGCTCCCTTAACTGATTCAATTCAGCAGTTAATTTTTCCACCGTTTGCTTCAAGGCCATAATCGTTGCTTCTTGATCCGAAATCTTGAGTAACTGACAGGAGTAATCCGCCCTCAGTTTTAGCGCGTCGGTCGGTAAATGCGCCCGAGCGTGTAACTCCTCTCCACACAATTGAGTAGCCCTAGCACATAGTCTTAAGTCCCTCTTAAAAGTACCTTTAAGATTAGAACTATGGTCCGCGATGTACTTCACCTTCTCCTGCAGCTCGAAACTACGAGCTACTACATCCGCCGTCGACAGTTCCCTGATCTCCGCCCTGATGTTATCCATCGGAGGATCAGACTTCTTCCTCTTCCTAGTCGTTTTATGATCATCCTCGTCCGCGTCGGTCCTGTATGTGCCCCTTTCCGGCGACCAGGATTATCTCCTGTAGTGTAGCGAAGGTCTGCAACCACTGCTAGTGCCAGCACTCTTGGTGCTGGAAATGCCATATATTGCCAATGTGTATTGGCGTCTAAGCGTCCAAAATCGCCAGTCTGGTTTGGCCAAACTGGGATCTCTAGGTGGTGGTGCTTAGAGTCGGAAACAAAATCCCCGATTGATTTTAAATATGTATCAATCGCTGGGGCCACAGGGATAGCTCCTGTCTTTCAAGTAATTAAGAAGACACTCGTCTTCCCTGTCGGATTCTCCTCGAAGAACACGAATCTGCGCGTACCTAGCATAGAGATGTGTACACATCACCATGCGATAGGCTGATCTTGAGACGACAGTAGCGAAACGCTTGTCGGACGCAGCTCTTAAATCGTATTCTTTATCTACGAGGGGAAGGAACGATTCGTTGGTGACAGCGAACGTTTTCCTAGCCCGTAACTCGCTATAGCCTGCGAAATCACAGTCTATCTCGATGTTCATGGGATCAACTCCGTTCATAAATTTGTTATAATTGTGAATAATAATTGGTTTTTCCTTTACATACTGAATATTCCCTTTCTTCTTTGTAACGTTTATATTTCCCGTTGTGCAATTGGTGGTGATCAATATGACGGGATTTTTTTTAGATTTTTTATCTCGGTAAGAGCACATAAGTACTTTGTTGCTTTTGAAATACTTCGGATAACCAGTTTGTGCAAATTTTGCTTCATTTGGAATTTGTTTTCTATTTCTCCGAATGGTGCCAGTTAGATATGTGTTTTTCTGTGACAGAGCTTCGGCAAGGTGAATGCTTGTGAAAAAATTATCTATCTATATATGGTATCCTTTATTCATGTAATCTCCTAGTGTTAACAATTTCTCAACCACTACATAACCGAGACCATACTTTTTTATTTTATCTTTATCATCGTTTGACTTTGCACCTTGATAACAAAAAAATGCCAAACAATAATTTGAAATAGAATCACACATCATCCAAAACTTGATGCCCCATTTGTGATGTTTTTTGTTGGGAAGATACTGCTTTATAATAGAGTGACAATGAGTACCAACTAAAGATTCGTCTATACTCATCTGACAGTGTGGCGTATATTGTTCTCGGAAGATTTTATTCGCGTAGTCCAATATGCAGTTGAATTTACCACACGGATTGTAATTTGGATCTCCTGATGGCGCTAAACTGTTATTGTCGACCAGGTGGAAAAACTTCAAAATCAACTGAAACCTATCCCTAGCAAACATTTTGCCAAACCATGGGATGTTTCTCGAACCTTTACTCCAATAGGACTTTATTGATGGTCGTTTTGTAATGCCCATTTCAAACAGAACCGCAACAAATGCTTTCATTTCTGTAGTAGTTAGTTACTGGCACCCAGGATTTCACGTGCGAATGTCGTCCTAATCTTCTTCTGGAATTCAAAAACTGCTCGGCATAGCGATTCGTTTCTGTCGCCATTGTAGTGAAGAGCGAAATTGATAAAAATTTATTGAAATATTCAATTGGTTTCGCATCAGTAGGAGGGGCATGCTTTGGACCAGGTACTTCAGAAAAAGTATTCGATTCGTTCGAAAAAATTGTGTCCACGGGTAAAAACTCATCAATAATATCGTCATCGGAGGTACTTGCAGTTACTTTATCATCATCACTGCTATCACTAATAACTCGTAATCTCTTAGAACGAATGATGATGTCACTTCCACTATCACTTTGAAGGTCATTACTATACTCTTCATTATCACTTCTCATAACATAGTCACTTTCAGATGAATCAGAACTTAACATGGTGTATTTCGTAATTATCAGTATAACACTTGGTAAAAAAATTAAAAGAATTTCTAATTCCTATAAAACAACGAAAAGATTTTTCCTACTAATAAATAAATGAATAACACACAGTGGTAAGCAGTAATGTACCAGAGCCGTGGATTGTGGTACGGTAGAAAAAATGAGCCAAATATTTTCATATAACTCTTTTTGGTACATAAATAATTTTTTTGTAAGAATTATCTCTTGCCCTTATAGATCTGGTGATGATTTAAAAAAAATTACAGTCAAAACATTATATATCCTTTTACA